CTGTCACCAAAAAGAAAGGATGTCATTATCAAATATGAAACATATTAATTCTGAGAGCACTACTAAAGCCACGTCTGTGTCGAAATAACAGGTGGACACAAACCCCAATAACTGAAGGAGGTATGTAGGCAAATAGGTGGTCCACAAGTGGTACTCGTAGCGACGGGACAGACGGAGTGACAGGGTTAGAGTTCCCTCCCTCAGAGAGCAGTCCCTGACATGGTATTGGTCCAAGATAGTCGGACAGTGCACCACCTGTGAGTCACGGCTTACGTTCACGCTATCTTGGGCCACATTCGCCACCTGTTGGTACAAAATTAGGGAAAATACACCCCATAGTATTGCTCAAGTCTAAGTACCTAGTGCGCAAGTACTCTCGCACTTTATGCTGACAAAAGACGTTGTCTGAACGGGAGCAGAAAAATACCAAACTATCTTGATGTAAGCAATTACAAAATTTACAATAATAATGATTTCCGACAGATATAAGGATATGCCACTAACCGTTATCTTTACTTCGCATTCCTGTTCGTCCCAAGGATACAAATGTAGCTGAAACTGACAGCTCACAGTTGATCTCAAGTCCAGTTCTAACACGAGTGGATTCTCAGAGCCCTTGTATGTGTAACCTGGAGGAATAAGAGATACTCATATACGTGCAAGTCCCTCTCTTCCTACCTCCCGTCCTCTCTCTCGCTCTTTAAATCATCACTTTCTCTTTCCCTTCCTCTCTCTCTCTCTCTCTTTATACATGTATATATATAATATATATATAATAGTGGCTGTGGGACCAGAGAATTAATGAACCTCAAGGCTAGTGTTAACAGAAACCTCGTTACTTCTTTCTTCTTTAATCATAAGAAAAAACACAAACGTTTCGAGTGTGCAATAACCATCTTCAGTGTGAAACAATAGCTGTGAACGGGATTCAAAAACATTATCCTTCAGTTAAAAATACACAAAAATAGTTATATTATATTATAGTTGTATATTAAAGACATTTCTTTATAAAGGTTGAAATCATAGTTAAACTAATTAATTGAACACCCCATTAATAATGCACTCTTTCTTGATATTAAATGATATTGTAAATTCAACTCTACATGGTTTCTTGGATATATATGATAATAATTTTCCTATGACAGTTGACGATATCTTAGATTTGCTGTATTGATATACTGTATAATCTTTAGTTTAAATATGATCTCAACTTTATAAAGAAATGTCTTTAATATATAACTTTGTAACTATTTCTGTATATACGTATATTTTAAACTGAAGAATATTACTTTTTTTTATTAAAGAAGAAAGAAGTAACGATATATATACACATATATATATATATATACATATGTACACACACACACTTATGTATATGCATTTATATATATAGTGCTTATGTATATATATATATATATATATATATATATATATATATATATATATATTATATATATATATATATATATATATATATATATATATATATATATATATATAAAATATATATACATATAAAGGTACAGGGGACAAAACATAGGAAGCAAGAGGGAGAAAGAATGACGTCAGATGCATCCAAACACATCACAACCCACAACAAAGTCTTTTCCTGAAGAGCATTTTTCCTTCTATAAATCTATGAATTTTAATCTGTGAACTTTACCAGCAAGGGAAGCGTTGCCCTCCGCCTCTCGCCTCACGCGCAGGCCCGCCTCGGCACCGCTGCTCTCCACGCTGTTCGTCACCTCCAGCAGCGGCGTCCAGACCTGGGAACAGGAGCCTTGGGTGAGTCACGTCTCGGAAGAACTCTGGGATTGGAAAGCGTCCTGTGTGAATGTTTATCAAGAGATGTGAATGAGAATGATGGATGTGATTGAGAATGGGATCCAGTATTTAGAGAACGGGATGAAGAAAGAGGTGATTGAAAGTGAGGATGAGTATTTTCAGAAGAACATGAGAAATTATACAGTGAGAACGAGTATTTTCAGGAGGGAAGGAAGAGTGATAGAATTGAAATGAGAAGGAGTATTTTAAGATGGGAATGAAGAAGGGTATGATTGAGAAAGAGAATGAGTATTTTAGGAGGGATATGACCGAGGTTGAGAACGAGTACTTTTAGGATGGAACAAAGAATGACACGACTCAGCATGAGAGGAGGCCAAGAATATTTTTTCTATTGTTCAGTCACTATTTCTTTCGAACCTCTTATTAAAATCTTATAATCGAAAATCAGATCATCGGTTTTATGTGAGTAATAAAGTTTCCTTTTCATTTGTGGCTTTCGTAGCATGGAAAGCATATGAATATCACTATCAGAATATCTTTAACATCATCGCCATCAGCCTCATTAATATCGTCACTATATTGATATGTTTATAAACATGATGATTCCATAGTTCTTACCATAATCATTATCAGTATCACTTTCATAAACGGATGCTACAATAATGAATGCATAAGTTTGATATAAGTTTGGGTTATAGTCGAAATGTCTGGAAATCCAGAATGACAAATGGTTATGATAATGATAATTATGATTAGAATAACCATACTGTAGATGTGATGACGATGATAGTAATAGCTAATGATAATGATGGTGTTAATAGCAGCAACAATAATAATTATAGAAAGAATGAAAATGGTAGCCATATTTTGTAAATAAAAGCTGAAGACCCTGAGAATGATGAAAACCATCTAAAAATGATAATCATAACTATTACAATAACAATAATTATCGTGATACAAAAATTATGAAAATTATGTCTCTGCGCATCTCCGCTCACTTCCTGTCCCTCCGCGACGACCACCTCCCTCTCTTCGGCCGAGGCGAGGTGCAGGAACGTGAGCCAAGGGTCGTACCACACCAGAGTAACCTTCATGCGCACACCGAAGGTCATGCTCAGAAGGTCGAACTCCCGAATAGCCATAATGGAAACATGAGCCTTGATGTCCAGAGGAATGCTGGGCGGCAGGGCCCTCACATAGCCCTCGTGCCGCAGGGCCGTGGAGCACCCACTCTCGTCGGCCTTGTCGCTGCAGTCGAAGGCGAAGTCACACCGTCGGCTGAGGGCGATGCAGGTCGCGTCCGGACATGTATGCTGGTCGTCAGCGCAGCGCGTTAGGACAAGCTCGACGCTCGCGTTGGCCTCGCCCTGGCAAACGTCCTGTCGAAAGGTCCACTTCCTCGGGCCGAGGGGGAGGAACCGCGAGGACGTGCACACTAGCTCGCTGCTCGCCCCGTCAGGAGGGCCGCTCTCGCGCAGACACCAGAGGGACGTCGTTCCTTCTCGAGTGATGCTGAGGGGCCCAAAGCCATGAAAGTAGGATGCCGCTCGCGCCCTCGGAGCTGAGCACGAAGCCGGCTTCGAGCATGCTGGCGAGGCGGTCGCGCCCATGTTCGCAGAGGCCCCGAAGGCGGAAGACGACAGGGCGCTGCTGCCTGGCGGCGAAACACACGCCAAAGTCCAACCGCAGCTCCAGCTGAGCAGAGTCATCGAGGACCACGTATGAAGAGGACCTGGACTCCGGAGTCTTCTTCCACATGGCGTTTTCCACCTCGAACTCTTTTCCCCTGATGTCCTCCATCCTTCCACTTGCATTCGTCTTGACGCCGATCCAACCGTAGGAACCAAGCTTAACTTCCAAACTACAGAACTGGTGGTTCTCTTGAATCCTCTGAGACAAGAAGGCAATTTCCTCGAGGGAGCGAGGAACGGCCATCTCCAGGCCTATGCGATGCAGGTAGGCTAGGGCTTCTGACCACATCAGGGGGAAGGAAAACAGAAGCAAGTCGTCATGGTTGCTGCAGGGCATAGAAGGTGACACCTTTAAATGGCCTGCTTGGTCATGCAGAGTCCAGTTGATTTGTGGCCACAATATGAAGGCACTCGTGTTGGTTGGCTCACAGTGGGACCAAGCATGCATCTGCGTGGCCTCAAGCACGACGTCCCACATGGTGAGTCCTGTGACCTGACCCAAGAAGGATTGCGAAGGAGTGTACCCCCCGTCCCACTCATCCTGCTCCTGGCCGATGACCAGGTTGCCACCGAGGGGCAGCTGGGGGTTGGGGGCGTCTACGGTGAGGTTCCTTCCTTCCAGCCATATGACAAGGCGGTCGGGCTCAGCCACCAGGCACACCAGGTGCCACCTCAGCGGGCTGATGAGGGCGTCGAGGCCTGGGGGCCTTCCCATCATGTAAATCACACGCAGCTCATCCGGATACAAACCTGAGGACAGTGAGAGAAGCTGCCATGAACGGTTTTCACAGGCTGGTGTAAATCACTTTCCTTATCCTCTTTTATCCTATATTTCCATTATTTCAGCTTCGCTACCAAAGACCAGGATGCATTTAAGACAACCCTGAGACACCCATCCCTTTCATCCCACCCAATCCGAACGAGTGGAAGAAGGCCAAAACTCACGTATTCGAATGGCATCATCCACTGTGTCCGAAACCGCGTAGCTCAGGAGGGTGGACTTCTTGAGAAAGGTTGTGACCCTGAACCACACGCAGAGGGTGAAAGTCGAGAGTAGAGCAGCGGGGTCAGGAGAGGTTAGGGAGTCTGCCAAATGTGCAGACAGGCGAGTGACTGCGTCTCCTCTGCCGCTGCCTGAGGACAGCTCGTACACTACCCATTCTGCAAAGGCAATAAGAAGCAGCTGTAATAAGAAGTGGATATGATACACGGATATGATAAGAATCGAATATGACAAAAAACAGATAAACACACATGCTATTGCCACAGACTTACTTCGTATGTCAATGATGTCATTACCGGGATGACTTTGCAGTGACGTCGACCCCCATTTTGCCGCTGTTAGGACGAGCACGAGAATGACCCTCCACCAAAACATGACTCTCACACCTTCTCCTTGTTCTCTGGGAAATGAAATGAAAAGTGAAATGAATAAGGAGGATTTAGATAAAACTGATTTGCGAATGTTGGCGCTTTTTGTTTTCAAAACTTATAACTGATGAAGCTTCGTAATGTGTCTGAATA